TGAGCAATAAAATCATTCCTATCATACGACAGATATGATATGGTCTTGCTGCGCGCAAATATGGTGATTAGCATGCTGGAATATTACGTATTCTTCAGTTACGTAAGGCACTTACGGAGGACCCATTACGGTATCTGTACCTTGTGCTATTTCAGCGTGTGCCCAGAAATCCGTCGTGAGCCATGGAGGTCAACGTAGTGGCCGCCCACCACGTCCTCCTGCACGGCCGTATCGTGGACGTGGCCGACAGCGGACTGTACATCGACCTTCTCTGTCCCGGTCGGCGCCGCGAGCTCTTCCCCTTCCACAAGGTCTTCCTAACCAATAGTTATCAACGCTGGGATGGCCGGGACTAGGCAAAGACGGAGGGGTGGCCGGCGGTCCCGGTGGAGGTGCTGCGGCGGGAGCATCGCCACGCTGCGTGGCGCTGATGGCCGGCGGAGATCCGCAATCCGGCTGCGGCGTTGTGGGATCCGTCCGCCGGGTATCGGTACTCTTCGCAGACCATCGTCCAGGGACGCGACGACAGCGGCGCCGTCTGGACGGACATCACCCCGTTGTATCGCGTCCGTTGGCCCGTGTCCGACGCCTGGTGGGCGGGGCAACGTACCAAGAATGCGATTCTGGAGGAGACGCTCCCGGGTCGATTTGTCACGCACCGTCTCCCGTTGCCCGCCGCGTGCGATGGAGCGTCAGTAGCGCAGATGGCGCAGGAGGCGACAGCACGGCCACATCTGGCCGAGCGGCGGCCATACGGCCGGGTGGTGTCCGTGGACATCGTGGATGGACGGTTGCAGTGTGTTGTGGAGGTGTTTGCGTCCGGCAGGTATCCTCCGGCCAGCAAGGCGGCACAGGTTCGTCAACGGCTCTTTCGGCTCGCGTTTGCTGTAAGTATATTGAGCCGCTGTTGCCGGTGTTGTACAGAAGGTCGCTGAGCACTTTCACGAGATGCTGCTCAGCTGCCTCCCCAGGATCCGGCGTGAGGTCGCGGCGGTTCCCGTTGAGCGTGGGACGCCGGGTGATTGGCACGCCGTGGCGGTGGATGTGCGGCTGGTAGTGTTCGCCCATCTGGACACGCTGACACAGACCCGGCTGCGCGCGGTATGCTCGGCGTGGAACGCGCTGCTGGACGCGCCGGTGCTCACGGCGAACCTTCTCATCCAGACGAGGGCATCCATTAAAAGTGTCCGTAATCCGCGTCATTTCGCCCTGGCAGCGCCCATCTTCAAATGTCTGCGTTCCACCACGAAGCGCCTGATCCTTGTTGACCGCCACCACGGTTTCCGCGGGAACACCCGGGATTTCTTCGCCGTGGCGGATACGATCCACTACGTGGCGCGGAGCCATCCCGGGATGCGACTGACGGCGCTGTATGTCGTCGGCGGCACGCACTTCCTCCCGGAAATGGCTTATCTGGATTTCGAGGAGGGCAAGACGTACAATTTAACTTACTGCGACATGCATAACCCCAAGTACGTGCCGCGACCGCTGCGGACGGATCTGGAGGAATTCATCGCCGCGTCCCGCGGTCTGCCCTGTGAGACCGTCTGTCTAGTGCATTGCGCCGTGCGGCTGCGCTGCGACGTGCGCTACTGGCCGCATACGTATTTCCAGCTGGAATTCCCGGTACTCATTGCGCGTCTACCGTTAAGCAGCCGGGACTGGGCGTCCACGGTGTGGGAGGCGTTGGAGGCGGCGCTGTCGGCGCCCAGCGACGACGAAGTGCGGACATTGGCCGAGTGGTTGGCGGTGATCGCGGTGGAGCAAAAGAAGGAGTATCAGCGCAGAGCCGTCTGCAGGGTAAGTTCATGTGCAGAACAGCCTTAAATCCTGTTAATTTACTGTAAGGAAAGCGATGAAATAAACGACGTTTCGGACAAACCTAAGAAACTTTAGGACGAGCGTAAGAAGAGTCACAACCCTTAAGAAATACCTAAGAAACGAAAGAAAAACCTAAGAATAACCTAAGAAACCTAAATAACCGAAGAATAACATAAGAAACCTAAGAGTGACGTAAGAAAACTTCTAGTCTAAGAATGCGTTCCATTAGGTTATGTTCCTGCTGTTGATCGCACGGTTGATACCTTCTCTTGTTTGTCAGGCTTTGTGCGTGACCCAGACGGCTGATCCGCGTCCCTCCGCGCATTACCGCGGCAAGCAGTGGTGCACGGATGGACTGCAGGATTTGCGCTTGGAGAAGCTGTCGCGCACGGCGCTGCGCTTCCTCCTTCTCCTGCCCGGCTTTCTTCGTCACGCCAACGATAAACTCCGACTGGAGGAGGTGGAACTCCCGTAAACTGCAAGGCCAACCGATTTGTCAGTGCTGGTTTGTCATTAGCCTTTTTATTCCGTAGTATCGTCAGGGTAGCTTCTACGGTTTTTCTCCTAATACATGTCTGACTGTAATTCCTTTTTATCGTACTGCATTTTCTCGAAGCGGGGTTTTGGGTGCTGGCTCGTTGTATTTTGTATCCGTAGGGGTCTTGCATTGACGAATCGCCTGTTTGTATGTTTTCTGCTTTAGCAGATACTGTGCGGTTTGTCCACAAGCGTAACATGCTGTTGATGATTTTGTGACGGAGTCCAGTAAAAATAAAGGTAAATCTCGATTATTACTAAAGGTCAGCGGGAACTTCTAAACTGATGGCATTTATAACCGTTAATACTCAAACCATGAGAGAGTCGGCCGTCGTAAATAGACAGACTGACCGTCTTGCAAACGGCAGCTGACTGTTAGTATCAAAAACAGTTTTCACGGGTAACTACTAACTTTATCAGTCATCCAGTTCTGTGTATGGTTTCATGTTTGCATTCTCGGATTAGTGTAGAACGCTTTGTTACACGAACAGGCATACACGCTAACGCACTAATACGCTAACGCACGCTAATGCACTAATAGTGCATTAGCGCTGCAACATCCGATTTAAAGCGGAACAGCTGACCAATGTTGCAATGTCGGACACAGTATGGAACCAAGCATCGTTACCCATGAAATTTGGAGGCTTAGGGTTGATCAGCGCAACAGAAGTGGCGCTAGCTGCTTACACCTCATCAGTCCATGGTGCTGTCGACATGGTGTGTAATGTTACCCGCAATGAATCCATCAAGGATCGGTGTAACCACCTGACAGAAGTGTGGACATCTCGCTTTTCCAACCGAACCCCCTCGCACAGAAAGTCGCCGGTTTCAGTCCGCGTGGACTACGCCACAGCACACCCAGACAGCATCCCGCATGATGGAGAACGCCGACGTAATTACCTCTGCCCGCCTGTTGGCTGCATCCTCATCGGAGTCGCGCGCCTGGTTGTCAGCATTGCCAGTATCCCTCTTCGGAAACCTGTTGGAAGATGCCCACTTACGCATAGCCGTTGCGCGACGGTTGGGAGCCCCAGTCTGCGAACAGCATGTATGCCGTTGCGGTAACGTAGTGGACAGCCTGGGACACCATGGCTTGGTTTGCAAGTTAGCGAAAGGAAGGCATGGCGTTCACGCCGTGTTGAATGATGTGACAAAGCGAGCCTTGAACTCTGCACGAATGCCATCGTCCCTCGAGCCGCCGGGTCTGGACAGAGGAGATGGAAAAAGACCAGACGGAGTTACCGCTTTCCCTTGGAAAAATGGAAAACCGTTAGTATGGGATGTGACAGTGGCAGACACGTTCGCTCAAACGTACATCGCCCGGACGTCACGGGTGCCGGGAAGTGCAGCGGAAGCACGCGAAAACCATAAGCTAGGGAAGTACGGTGGACTTGCAGACCGATATGTAGTACAGCCGATCGCATTCGAAACCACGGGCACATTTGGACCACTCACAAAGAAATTCTTCAAGGAGCTATCGCGAAAGATCAGCGATTGTACTGGTAATCCTCGGTCAGGAGAGTTTTTGCGCCAGAAAATCAGTATTGAGATACAACGGGGAAACGCTGTCTCTGTTCTTGGAACGTTTAACGACATGGTTGACAACGAGGATGTGTTTTTTGCTTTTAAGCTAGCTAAACGGGATTACTAATGCATGTGCATTCTTGAAGTTCAAGGACATCAGCTGACGTTAGATATCTTTTCATCTACTAAGTGCCGACCTATTCTAAAAAAACGCACAGATACTATGCTGCAACTTGTAGGTGTACCAATCACGCATACATACATACAACTAAAACGTTTCGCAATTGCCATTGGCTGGCCCGGCCTACTTTTGCCTACTTGTATAGATGTATGCGTGATTTGTACACATACAAGTAAGAAACGCAAATGCACTATTATTTTTGTGTCCTCTCCACAAGAACAGTTTTACGTTTGTACCGGCACAACTGGATGAGTCTGCCGCACTTCATTCACCGAAAGGCAAAAATCTAAGTATTATCAAAAGTCTTTAAACTTTTTCGAATATTGTATAACTCTGGACATAGAGGTAAAAACCCCACTGACTTGTGCCATAGGCGAAACTTTTGAGCTTGAAAAGCTCCAAAAGAATTGTAAAAACTAGTACTACGCAGAGAAGTAAAAGGAGCAAGCGTCAACTGCAAATGCCCTCACATGCAGTACTTGAAGTATTGCATTAAGGCGGTCCCTGTCCACTGGGATGCCGGTCGTCAGCGATAGCCCCAGCCCTCCTCTCAGTTCTCTGCTAACACTTTTATCAGAGCAGTTGGACGGGACGACCAATCACCGATATAGCAGAACCATAACGAGCCAACTAGAAAAGCGTAAGAACGCATTTCGCAATGTGTCGCCGAAACGCATTCGTAAATCCTACGTACATCGTAATGGCCACGTAAAGCGCGGTTTTAGCGGACGTACAACTCCGCGTATATCCGCGGACATAGAAACCGTAAATGCACAACTAACGAGATCGTTCAGTGCAGAACTGCAGATTACAAATTATTTCGCCGCTGATCACGTGTCAGTTTATTTACGTTTCAATAAGGTACACTTTGAAGCGTGCTAATTTTCTTTCCCCGAATTTGTTTTGGCTTTTTCTGACTTGGGTGCGTCGATTGCGAATGGATCGCGCTAACGTGGTGTACGTTAAGGGCAGCGATCAGCGGCTGCGTCTCGGACGCGTCGGGGATGTCGCGGACGGTGGCCTCGTCGTGGACCTGCTCTGTCCCAATCGTCGGTGTGAATTTGCGCCCTTCGGGAGAATCGTCCTTTCGGGACACGTGACCCGCCAGGATGTGACTAAACTGTTCGAGGACCCACAGCAGGAAACCATCCCGATGGAGATCCTGGTACCGGAGACGCCGCTGGGTCCCTGGATGTGGCTGGAGGGTGAAGTGCTCGGTGGGGCACCGGTTGCCGTGCAGAAGGCCGGAGGGGCGGTGGTCCAGTGGATCCATCCGGACAGCGGAGAACTCTGCACCGACATGGTACCCTTCAGTCGGCTGCAAGTCTGGTGGGGCGCCTCCGAACAGCACTTAATGCGCCCTCCCGTCCGTCCCGGCACCTTTATAAAGGACAGTCTGCAGTTGGACATGACGGTTCCCGCGTTGTCCACGAAAGACCGCGAGGAGCTTGTCAAGAGATTGAATGCCAAGGACCCGGGAAAGTACTCGCCGGTTTTCGCGGTGGACCTCTTGGACGGCCGCTTGCAGTACATTTACCAGCGCGGTTACGGAGAGAGAAATTCTCTGCCGGATGGATATACTGTGTTGGTGAGAATGTGGTTCTTGAGGAGTACTCCGCCTACAATGGCAGGGCTCGATATCAAAAACAGTAATTTAAAAATAAGTGTTTCTTGAACTGTTTCAAACGCTTGATTTGGAAAAGAGTTGATTAGTTTAAAATTATGACTGATGTGTTGTAGAGTGTTAAGGAAAGCCTGGAGCGCCTCCAGGCGATCCTGCTCAGCGTGACCAAGGACCCTCGCTGCGAGACCTCGGCCACGGATGACGCCATGACGTTCCCGGCGGAAGTATGGCAGGAGGTCTTGGCCGACTTGGACACCGTCACCCAGACGAAGCTGCGCGCCGTGTGCACCACGTGGAACCGGATTATGGAGACGCCGGCCCTTCGTTCCACCATCATCATCCGCGGCGATGTGGGCCCCTTCCTCTGCATGTCAACGGTGTTCCACGGTCTCCGCCCGGACACTCAGCGCGTCATCCTCACCCACCGCGGAGAGGGGCAGTGGAAGTTGGCCGGCGGCGTGGAGCACGTGCTGGAAATGCTCGCCTATGTGTCTAAGCAGCGGACCGGCATCCGGCTGCGCAGTATGTACCTGCACCGTATCACCCTGGACTGTGTGTACGGGTTTCGTTACGACGCTCCGGGCAATAAATGTGAGCAGGTGCGCTCGTTGAAGCGGAGTCTGGCCGGATGGCGCCGTCTGCCGTGCGAGACCATCCACATCGCCCACGGTATCCTGGTCTGCACCTTCAGTACGTCGCGGTTCACGGGGCCGCCGACCGTAACGCAGCTGGAGATGGGGATCCGCTGCGTGCGATTCCCGCGTAATAAGGATATCGTCGGCGGATTTTTGGAAGCGGTGGAAGCGGGGCTGCCGGAGCCGGATGAGGAGCAGCTGCTACGGTTGCGACAGTGGTTGAATGGCGGCGGGAAATCCCAGCAGACGGACGTACCATTTGTCGGGCAGGTAGGGACAGATTATAGTTATGGCTTTTCGTGACCTGCGATCCACGCTGGTCATTCTCGTCCGACTTGTTTTCTTATGTTTTTTATGTTTTCTTACGTTTTCTTATGTTCTCTTACGTTTTCTAATGTTTTCTTATGTTTTCTCGTGTTTCTTGTGTTTTTCTCAGATTTCTTAGAGTGCCTTGGGTTTCTTGGGTTCCTCGTTTTAAACTGCTTGGTCAATTTTAATACTAATACGTTAACCGAAATTAAGGTAACCTTGAGAAAGTTGGGAAATGATCTTCCGCCGTGCTGTAGGTGCTGTGCGCGCTGCAGTCGGCGGATCCGCGTCCCGCGGCGCATTATCGCGGGAAGAAGTGGTGCCGTGACGGTCTGCAGGATTTGCGGCTGGAGAAGTTGTCGCGCATCACCCGGCACTTCCTCGTTCAACTGTGCGTGTGGACGGCGCGCCAGGGATCCTGAAGCGGTCCGTCACTGACTGCGCTGGGATGTCGGTCCACCGGACACTACGTGTACTGCCAGCTCTTTGTGGCGCAATGGTCAGCGCATTGCAGTGGTTTTTCGCGGACAGAATTATAGTACTCGTAGTTATTTAGATTAGTTAGTTAAAAACTATTTTATTTCTCAATATGTACAAGGCGAGCTTCGCTCAACAAATATGATCAAATTAACAAATGAAGAATTTGTCCCAATTAACATGAGAAGGGACTGTGCACAATACACTCATAGCATTACCACGCATAATCTCCAAACTGGCTGCCAAGTTAGTTTATGGCTGCCTTTCACTTAATTATTGTAATTTATATTTTCGCTTTTCTGCTGTGTATTTCCTGGTTTTCCAAGGGTATACCGTTTATACTCGAAAGAAATGTCTTGTTGCAAGACTTTTGTAAACCGACGGATCCTAATTTTTTTAAGATTCTTATTAATATTTTTAATACTTGTACCTATTATTATTATTCTTATTAATATTTAATGATTAATAATATTATGTTATTATTATTTTGTCTTCGTTAATTTTTTCTTCTATTTGTTTTTAATACGAGTACAAACACGAGTAGTTCTGTAAATAATAGACCATTTTATTTGAGTGCTTTATTAATTTTTATCTTCGAGTCTTCGACCACCGCCACAAGTCACGACGGGGATTCAGAAAAATTTTATACATTTGGAAAGAATAAAGGCCTATTTTTACTCGGCTTTCGTCACATTTTTCTTTACGTCCGTCAAAATGGCAGAATATGCACATGAACCTTGATGTCCGTAAAATCTGACGACCGTGATAAAAGCCGGCACTATGATCCGACTTACATCACGGACATGGGCAAAACGACCTCCTGGTTATACTCGAAAATCAGTTTCGCCAAACCTCGAAATTCTAAAAATGATTTCAACATAAAATTGCGACTGCTGTACTTCCTGTGGGGTGGGATACATTCAGTATATTTCCAACAGGCGATATTTATGCAGCTTTGAAACTTTGGTTAATCATCCACTGCGCGTTCGGCTGACTGATAGTTTTACAACGATTTACTGTTTTTTTCGCTTGGATTCTAATTTTTCACCTAATTCCGAAGATGAACGCTGCAGATCGACGTTTCACTTTTGTATTGCGTCCCAAAACTAATATTTAAAATATTGTCAAAATCAAATGTGCAGCTGCGTGGGAAATGGAAAATTTATCAAGGAAATAGATCTATATTATGATCGGCCGCCCCGTGGAACTTGGCTAGAAAAAACCGCCAAGCAAATTAAAAAACCGATTTCACCATTAAACTCAGCATGTCCCAAAAGGGTCCCACATGCATTTTGTTTTCAAAAATATCTGCTCTGGACCGTCGCTCGGATGCCGGTACAGGCATCAGTTCAAGGTGACCTTGAAAGACATTTTACATAAAACACTTGCGTGGAGCAGCTAACATTCAAATGCAGAGCATGTAGTGTAATAAAAAAAACTGTAATTTTTCCGAATACACTCCGAAAAATTTTTCAGCTTTGTCACGCTTCAGCAAAATGCTCTAAAGCGAACGGGAAAGCGCTTTTGCACTGGAACTGTTTAGCTTTTCCGCGTTCTTATACATTGTTCTCTGTGCAATGTGTGCATTACAAAACACTTAAAAATTAACTTAAAAACCAAAGAAGTTGTCGGGTTCGGTGTAAAACGATCTTAGTACTCATATTACGGTATGCTCACGCGTCTACATGCAAATTTGGGATAAGATATCGAATTATAATAAGACTTTTGAATGCCACCTGAATGCATTTATTTTAAACATTTTAAAATTTTATTCTCCTTATATCTCATAAACAATTTTCATATAAAGTACAAATCCTTTGGCTAGAGGGTGAAATTATGAAAGCTATGAAACTAAAAAAGCGTTTGAGGGTGCGAGAGCGAAAGTTTGCGAACGTATTGCTACTTACCTGCATAGTTCCTTTACATATTAGGTATAGAAAGCGAAATCGCACTTCGTCCACTCGGTGGTAGAAAACAGGCAATGTCTAACCATAGTTTGCGAAAACTAAAATTTGCGAGTTAAGTTTTAGACTAAAGTTTGCGAAAACTTTCGCTTTCTAAACTTAGAAAGCGAAAGTTTACTGACCGTGAGTTTTCCTATGCAGTGAAAAACTCACTGACCGGACCGGCATATGAGAACAAAGTTCTTCAGCTTTCGAATGAACAGAACCGCACAAGGGTTACACTATCCACTAACCAGACCTACTGAGTTACAGGAAATATACTGACCGTCGATCAGGCCTGTAGAGTGAACGGAAGCTAAAGTTTTAGGGAAGGGATATTATCTTAGTGTTAGTGGCGTAGACCAGATAAGAGCAGAACCGTTATCAGTGTTCAGCACAACGCTAATGCACCAGCTGTCAAACGGACAGAACTGTGCAGAAGCTGCCATGTCTAAATAAAGGGAACGGTCGCCATTGTCCGAGATCCTCAATTTACCACCGGCCTTACCTCCCCTTACCACAAACAGTGTGACCGCGAGGGCTGGTTTTATTTTGTTGGTGGCTATTGCCAATACACAAAAAATGTTAACTACCTAGTACCGGGTAGAACGACATCCCGTGTAAATGCAATCGCCATTAGATGCTTAAAATCTCTGTCAAAAAATTTTTTTGGGAACAGTTATCCGGAAACAATCGAAATTGAGAAAGAGCCAACCCAAAGGCCATATATATCAGTGCTTAGTTATCACTAATTAGGGCTGCTGCGTAAACGGAAATTACAGGACCCTCTATTGCTGTTACTAATGTTCAGTGAGTAGGACAACGTAATCTCTGTTGCTCGTTATCACTACATACTTCTTGCTGCCGACTGAATCAAGAATAAAAAATTATCAAAAATCAAAAAATCACACTACTAGAGAACGAGTACTGTATCTACCGACCAAACCTACTGATTACTGAACAAAGGATATTATTGTCCTCGATCAAAATTGGTTTCCACGTACCAGTTATTAAAAAGTAGCGAAGCAGAATTATTAGAAACTTAGCACCGCTGACCGCTCTCCGATTATTAGTCGTGCTATCTAACTATTTTGTTTCACATTAAACGAACCGCTCAGCTATATAATGCTGTTTCCTGATTAAAAGCAAGGTAACTGAAGCTACGAACAGCGCCTAATCATACAAAATGTAAAAATATACACACAAACCAGGCTTCAGAAATAAATGAACAAGGATTATTTTTCAAGGAATTGAATGCAGACCACAAGAGCATCTGAGGCGAAGCCGAAGATGACTCTTGTTATTTATAAAGTGGTCTTTCAAGTGTTTGTAGCCATTGTAGGTAGTAAAGTACAATTGTGCCTGCAGAAAGTGCGCTAATACGAGTAATAACATACGCAGCGTTTTGCATGCTAATATACGATAAACATGCAGAACTTCACGATCGTGAAGTTTAAAAAATAGAACTAGTTCTATTTCCAAAATTTGACGAAAGTAGCCAGATTTTGACGAACGTAACCTTGACGAAACTAACTTACGGTAAGGTGACGTGTGTGTGGTTATACTACCTACCTCAGTCACGGACACTGTGACGGAGATGTGAAGGTATCTATACTCGCCGAAATAGCTCAGTTTCGCGAGATGTGACGATCTTAAGCCCGAGTAAAAATAGGCCTTAAGTTTCTTAATCAGCTGTTCAGAACTCATTCTTCGCTCGGATTTAATATTCTTCAGGAGGATTTTTCTTCTGAAATTTGATTCCTGTTGAAGTACTACTGAGTACTGACGGACTCGGGCGTCAGCGTCAGCAGGACTTCCGGGGGTATAGTCGTGGATGCTGGATAATCAGCGTCACATCGAATCCATCGAAACTCGAGCGTGTCGAAGGGAGCATAACAACACCATCATGTGCCCGCACCGCATCCTCCCGTCGTCATCGAAAACGTCCCACGGACGTTCTCGAAGACGATGGAAGGATGACACGCTTCATAGAGCCCACTAGGCTAATCATCATGGCCCGAAACAAACAACCAGTATGTATGTAACATGAAAGAAAATGTTCAGCTATAAATTTACGGTGCCTTAAATACGGTAAAATACCTGAGCAGGGAAAGCACAACAACGGTAGCGAGCTACTGAGAATATCAGCTTGGCTGGTTAGTAAAGTAACGGTTAGGGCTGGAATGCCGGATAATGGTCTGCCACACCGCTCGTATCAAATAAAAGACGGCAGGGAAAGCAGGCCAAATAGAAGACTGGCCTACTTCATTCTTACCCTGCGTCTTGGCCTCCTTTTGGCCTCTTTCTGCTGTGCGTCTTGCTCTGCCTGCGTCGGGTGTGCTCGTATCGCTCAGCACAAAACTAGGCTTCTTTTATTCTGCGTGACATAATCACAAGGAAGAATGGTTGGCTGGACGCTGCTCAACTCTTTAGCCATCCCTCCATTCGCCAGGGAAAGCGGAATCCACCTGTTGATCAACCAACTGCCTGCCTCTTCTTTGAAAGCGCGCTGGTGAAGTGTCCTGCTTATGACCTAAATTTTCCACGGCCTGCCTATTCGCTGGAGATGGCCTAATTTCGTTGATCGCAATATACATGGATAGAAATGCTCATATAAAATGTCGCATTCCGTATGTGTTGGGCGTTTTATCCATAGCATACGCATCCGAACGTCGAAGCTATTCCCACCTCGTTAACCGTCGAGTGTGACCTTTCCTGTCACTAATACAGTAATACTTACCCGCTGTTAATTCGCAGTACATGCCTATATTGTACTCCAGGATTTTATGTTCTGTGTGCACCTTCTTCCGCCTTACTGCCCAGTGTATGATGGAATGATCCGCGTCTGCCTTCGCATTATTCCCGGGTATTCCCAGCTGTCCACCCACCACTTCTTCCGCCCACGCGGGTAGGAGTAGTGCGGGGATGGCGTGGGAGACTGGCAGGTAAAGAATACGGTCCAAAGTAATGGCGCTTGCTTAAATGGACATTTTTTTTGAAAAGATTATTACTGAATTCGTAAAGCGACTGTGATGTGCTTTGATGCTCACGCTTTCTAACCCTAACCAGGATAGCGTCACCGGCCCCCTCTCAGACGTTTCTGAAACGGGCTAGTAGATGACAGTTGATTATTTTTATTTTTAGAGATAACCTGTAGGTCGTCATTATTATCTCGGTTTTCGTGCTAGCAGTATGTGTTAGAAACTGCTAGCGCGAATCGAAATGGCACCTGCTAATCTATGTAGCTCTTACAATTATATTGTTAATTACCACCTACAGGCCCGCTTCGGAAACAAAAACGGTTAACGGAGAATATTAGCGTTTCGCCAGCCAGGTTTAAAATCCCAGGCTAGATGTCATCCTAGCCGGATATGGGCTACCTGCACTGACTCAAATTAAGTTAAATTAAATTAAATTAAATTAAAGTAAAGTAAAGTAAAGTAAATTAAATTAAATTAAATTAAATTGGACAGAGATAGGCCTCGTACGATAGCGTATGAAGTGGTTTCAAGAAGATCGGGTAAATAACCAGACTCTTGGTGCACAGCAATGTCGTTTAACATTTCGCCCATTTCGGTTCGCCACATCTCGGCTACCGCAAGTTGCGCGGGCAATCGGTTTTCAGAACAAAGCAGATAAATCATTTAGTTGTAGAATGACATAAAGTGTTACTAAAAAGTGATTCGGAGTGCGCGAAAGTTTTAGTGCATGTATTCCATTTTTACACTATGTACCGGGCCATTTTCCTTAAACGCCTTTCCCTGCTCAGATACTGAAAGCGCCGTACATATACAGTTTTCCTTCCCAGTTTTCCTTTATGTTATAGGGTAGCGTGTTTCTGGACCGCAACCTCCATCCATGATGATTAGTCTACTATTGTACACCACGTTAGACATTCAACGGGTCATCGTTCCGTCGTCCCCCCGAACGTCCGTGACGGTCCGTCAGGGTCGTTCTGGAAGACGACCGAAAGATGCGGTATCTGTTCTTCAACCGCAGTCCACGAGAAATCGCGCGTATCCTTGTGGATAATAATTATTCGGCATATTTACTACTGCATTGCTTTTGAATTGAACGAAGCTTTATTGGGTTATTCGAGTGAACATTGGATAGAAACAAAATTACGCGTCACATCATTTCAGCACATAATACACTTCGTCTGATCGTCTTGCTACTTCGGCATTGTTACTACGGCATTGCTATTATTACTACTGCACTGCTGCATTATTACTACGTCGGCATATTACTACTGCATACTGTAATTATACTGCATTGTACACGATGTGCAAATTCTCTACAATATGTACATGTATTTCTTAACACGCTTTCAGCAGGACAGCAGCGCTCCGTTATTTCAATGTACCAACGAATCTCGTGATTCCTGCGTTTTCAAACAGAATCGCGACTTAACTGGAATTATTTATTTTTGCAACTTGGATAGAAATAATTTTATAACCAACGGTTCTACATTATACGAGCGAAAAAATTAAACTCCGGAAAAGTTAAACCTCTACAAACCGTACCACGTATACAGTTGGAAGAGCTTCACAATATAAATTTATTGTGCTGGCTTTTTAATCCAGTTATGTCTACAGTACGTGAGATCCCAGTCAACCGGCTCACTGATAAGAATAACAGTCATACAGCGCCGAAAATAATAAAACACAAAGGTCACGCCATATTCCCAGGCATCTTCATAGAAGCGACAGAAAAAGCAGAAAAAAGAAAGCAGCCATCCGTAAGCCGTTACGCTACGAATAATCCAATATCGCCAAAACAACGTATTGTACAGTGTTGCATATGTTAACTAGAAGAGGAGGAAGATCCAGTCCCACGGCGACGTGGTGTTGGTACCGTTGAGGGCCGTGATGTTGTCGGCCGCGGTGAATTCCGGGAATTCACTCCACTGCGTCTGCAAAAGGATTCCACACCTTTTTTACGTTTTAACTAAATTAATCATTTCATTATTTATTATGAAGAGTGAAATTATAATTTTCTGGAAATTTAAAAACTGAAAAATTATTATTCAAATTTTTAAAAAATTAAAAAGGCAATTTGCTTAATTAAAGTTATTATTTATATCGCATTTATATATTTATACAATATTTATAATTTTAATTCACATAATGATTATTAAAAATTCATAATAAATATATATAACTAATAAATTAGTAATATTTAGTATTGATTTTTACCGGCATTGACTGCGACGTGTTGGATCCCGCGGGCGGCTGGCACTGGGGCGTGATGGCCTGCAGATACTGGTCGCCGATGATCTGCAGCGCTTCGCCGCTAACCCGACTGCAGCGCCGGCTGACCTCCTGCGTGAAGCACTCCGCGTACTGCTCAATCATCCTGTAGAAACACGCGCATGCCCATCAGTCTAAGAAACCCAAGAAACCTAAGAAAATTTCGGTTACCGGCAGTAGGCGTTGGGGTTCTGCCCGTTGTCCATATCACTGCCGCTGTCCTGCAGTTTATCCGTGGAGCAGGGCTGCTCGATGCCGGCGGTGCGGATCATACACGGCACTTGATCCAAAAAGTCTGCAATGAAAGGTCAACGGTCTGGTTAACATACGCAGATGCATTTCTAAATATTTCTAACTACTTCTAGCTGTTTCTAAAAATTTCTAATTATTTCTAAATAATTCTTCCCATTAGTTTGCAATATAATTCTGCCAACATTTTTCGCAATATGCTTCTCAAATGCTTCTGAGTTTTCGATATACCTCTCAATAATTTTTATATTTATGGTGAAGGCTCCGCATACCGCCTTTATACCACCGTTGGCTCCTCGTACCAACTACCACCTTTCATACCACCTTTGGCTGCTAATACCACCTTTTGCTCACCACTTTTGACTCCGCATACCACCATTTAATTTTTAAAATTTTTAGCAGAAGTGAATTTTTTAACATCAAGAAACAAGATCCAAATCTTTCCGTGTACCGGCCGGATAAAGATGGCAACTTGAAGGCATTCAGTATCGCAACCGACGCTATGGAAAAACAGTACGAACACACACGGGAAATGTTTATACGTACTGTTTGTATGGAAGCGTGTGCCCGCAATATCCGTACATAACGTTACGTTGCGAACATCGTACACCGAATACGGTATCCGAAAATGGCTAGTGGAGTAATTTGAAAAGACCAGGATTTACGAGTAATTTTATCACCCCCGATGCATATATAGATATGTACTGTATACGAAGCGCAGCGCGTCGATTTAAGGACGCGGCTGCACAAGCAAACCATTCGGTTTTACCAGATGTCCTTATTAATTCATAATAATACAGCTGCAAGAAAAATTAAATGGTGGTATGGGAGTCAAAAGTGGTGTGCAAAAGGTGGTATTAGGAGCCAAAGGTGGTATGAAAGGTGGTACTAGGAGCCAACGGTGGTAAAAGGTTGTATGCTACGCGGAGCCTTCACCTATATTTATTACATTTCTACCAATATTTCACTGCATTAGCGATTTTATTTCTGAATATATTGGGAAACATATTTCTGATTCCTTCAAATATATTTCTAACCATAATAAATTATTTCCATGAAATTAAAATTATTTAACAAGTTTTTATTTATATGTTTTTAAGAATTATAATATAGACTATAATTATGCTTTTTTGTTCTGTTTGTACCTAGTTGAAGTTCCATATATGATCTATATAAGTAGGTGTACATATTGCAATTGAAGATTTCTATAATATTATACCGCTAATACCGGTAACAAGTACTCTGTGTACTTACTTGTATCAGTTGTATCATACAACAACTGATACAAGTACAGTACTCGTACATGTTGCATACATAGTTGCATACAACTTGTATGCATATGTACCGTATTTCTAAGTCTTTCTAAATATTTCTAAATACCTTCGGCGGGCAGCTGCGCAGCGGCGGTGAGATCCTGATTGCTCTCGCACAGCACCTGCATACCCTGCCGAATCAACCGCGAGATCTGGTCGGCCTGATTCAAAACGGCACCCCGAAGAACCCGCTGGCCGGACCGTCATCCAGGCGGGTGATGGTGACGTCCACCTCCGCCACCACCAACACCGGCAGGCTGTCGTTGTTCGTCGAGTCCTCGGACTCCGCGGTGGTCGTCGGCTCCATCGTACCCGGCTCATGGGTGGACGAGGCCTCCTCGGTGGTGGCCTCCGTGGTGGCCGGCTCCAGGGTGGTGGCTTCGGAGGTGGCGGGTTCGGCCGTGGAGGCGTCGGTGTCGCTGCGGTTGGTGTTGAACATGTCGACGAAGGCGGCGACGTCGCGCATCCACGCGTCATCGCTGGAGGTGTCGTTGCTGGCGGCCGGGGGCGGGAAGCAGGCTTGGAGGTAGGCGTCCAGGCACTGCATCACCGGCTCGGGGTTCCTGCAGTTGAAAAAGTATTGCAGACGTTTCGCAAAAACTTTTTCAGAAGAACAAAAAGGGAAATAAATGAGGAGCGATTATCAAAACTTTTTTTACGATTACTGTAGAAAAATGCGGTAATTTGTTAATTAATCATTAATTAAGAACACAATATTAAAACACTTCATAAATATTTGTTTGTATACGTAACCGCTTTGCTTTTATTCGGATTTATTTTCATACCTTTTATGGGGCAAAAACCATCAAAATAACAAAAAGGGCATTGGCGTGATTCTACTTAAAATGATGCAATTTCATAACTTGATTTCATCAAAATATTTCTTGATAATTAATTTTCAATGCTTCATAATAAATTTATTAATAGTACAAGTAGAAATGAAAAAATTCCTGATTTATTTTAGACAGGCATTGTAAATTAATTTTTGATTTAACAAATAATATTGTAGAATATAAAAATAAAAAAAATTTAAATAAATAACTCGTAAAGCTTTTCGGTTACCCGTAAATTTAAGTACTTTTTTAGTTTGTTAACAAGAGCAGGATTGAGTTGCAGGGCTACGAGCCACTTCACTACGCTTTCTCCATATTAACCATATCAATCACTAGTCACTGCTAAACGGAATAATTTCTACAAATAAATCAAAATAAATCCAAATAATTTGGCTTTTGTTTTAAAAAAAAGGGGGAAAAATCTACAGTACTGATAATAAAATACCGAAAACATTCTTACATGCAGATTTGGGGAGCGTTGTCCTTGAACTGGCGCAGCAGGACCTGCAGGCCGCTGCTGGTCTGGCTGACGTCCAGACGGCGCACCAGGGGCAGGTTGGCGAAGGAGACGTTGTCGGGCGTGGCTTGGAAAAGATCGATTTTCTTGTTGAAGCCCGTGACGCGGTCCAGACAGGTGTACAGGTTCAACAGGATGTTCAGCGGGGCTTGCGAGTGGGTGTAGCACGGACTGATCAGCACCTGGTCAATGTAGGCGTACAACTCCGCCGGGTTATCTGCAACGCAACATCATCGCGACTTTAATAATTACAGTTACGAAAAAAATTATCAATTTTAATAAAATAATAAAAATAATAGTATTTATACTTTATGTAATTATATGTATTCATATTATATGTATTTATATACTTTATATAATTTTATTCCTGTTTATATTATAATACTATTTATGTTTGTATTTGATTTCAGCCCTAGAAAAGACTATACATTTAAAATTTACATAAATCGAATTTTTAAATATACTCGTATTTTGCACATTTTTATATACTGTATTTTAATACACATAAATATATATACATATATATTTACATTTATAATATATACATTTAATATATATACATTTAACATATATACATTTAATATATATACATATATATTTACATTTATAATATATACATTTAATATATATACATTTAACATATATACATTTAATATATATACATATATATACATTTAATATATATACATATATATACATTTAATATATATACATTTAACATATATACATTTAATATATATACATATATACATATATATGTTTAATATACATAAATATACATTTATATTTTTTTAAATATACGTTTAAATTTCGAACAGTCAGTATTAGGTGACCTTGAAAAAAAGACGTCGCTGGACGCACGCGCCGGCGTTGCGGGTCGCTTCGCGCGGCTGATGAGAGTACAAAGCGGATATGACGTTTAAAGGGCGTTACTAACTTGTAAGCCGGCAAAATCTTAGCGCCGACTTCGGTAAACAATAAACACCGATGCGCTCAAGGTTATATTTTACTCTTGACAGCTGTACGAAAGCGAAAGCAAATTCCCAGTAGCATCGGAAAAATACAGCTGAAAATCGGTAATACCGATTTGGCTGACGTTTATATACGCCAAATATTACCTGCTGATTTTACCGAAAAAACTGGACGTTTTAAAAGAAAAAATATTATATGAATATAATATCACATACAAAATTATTATCAAAATAATAAAAATTATTATAAATTATTCTAGAGATTATTCCAGAATATTATACAAATTATTCTAATGTCATATAAATTTTTATGAAATAGCATTTAATTTTTCACACAAAAAAAAGCCGGTGCAGCCAGTACTTACAGTCGAGCGTCAGCATGCGGACCTCGCCGGCATTATCATCGTCACTGTCACTGGTCGTAGTGGCGTCGTACTGGAATTCGGAGCCGTCTCCCACGTCGGCATCGTTGTTCGTCGACGTGTCCACCGTGGTGGTTTCCGCCGTATCCCTCAGCATCCACCTAATCCTATCCTCCCCGCTTCCGCCGGGAACACTCGCCGCTGCACATTTTTATATATTCAATAATTTTCAATACATACGAAGTATTTCTCGTTAGATAAAAATAATAATCGGATAGGGGACCGTCAGTGGATCGGTGCATCAATCTGTGCTAAGTATTTCACCGAGGCGAAGATGAAAATTTCACCGAATAGGGTATTACATGTTTACTTAATTAATTACTAAGTCATTATGAAAATTTATTTACTTACCCATCTCTTCTGATTAAATGAAGAATTTCTGAGTGTTAATCATAAACAAAGGCTGTACCTCATTTTAATCAGCTTAAATTCTGATTTATTTAATGAATAATATTTAAATTATTTAATATTTATTAATTATTATTATTCTAATAATATTAGGACATTATTTATAATGATATTATTCTGATAAATCAGTTGTTAAATTTTCCACCGATTTCTTAAGTCACCATATTTTCAAATTCAAAAAAAAAATCCAAATAAAATACTATATTAATTATTAAATAACAATAAAAAATAATTAAAATTCAGTAATAAAATATTATTATTATTTCCAAGTGAAAATATATAAAAACCGGCACTTTTTTCCAAAATCGTCGGGCACATACCGTCAAGGAGGGTCGCGCCGGCCAGTATCCCCACGAACAGCACCGGCAACTGCATCGTTCCTCGTAAAAAAAATAAATAACCTTTCCGCAATAAACGAATCAACAGCAATTGGCAATGTAAAAGTCGCGTTTAATCTCAAGCGCAAAATAATTCACCGGAATCAGCAGGTTTATTTGTGTTTTGTACGCGGCCGCTCATCCACAACATATACACACAACAGTGCATAAAAAACGCCGGGAGACGCATCGACTTTTCCTGTGAAATTCGTCAGTAAACGGAACCTGTTTGTGCCGAGATGAAGAACCTAACCGGCAGGCATATATAGCGTGTATATAATGCAATAAATAGTGAAATAAATGTGCCGCGTAATCCAACACCCGCGCCACGCCGCGGCCGTGTGCCAGGCAAATGTCAATTAATGAAATTAAATATTATTTGTCTCCTGGAAGACGATGCTCATCGACAGCGCCCGGCGGCTGCGAAAAATATGCCGTTTCATGCTTTTCGACTAATAAATATGCAATTTAATCGGAGCAGTGTTTTTGTTGTGGTTGGATGGAGTACGAGTAGGAATTTTTGGGGCAGTGTTTCGATGTAATTGCAGTGTCATTTTTACGTCAGTTGACCTTTCCGGCCGATGCCGCTTTCCATCGCATTAATTATGTCGATAATTTATTGACCGCTGATTTTATTTACTATTTTTTAATATTTTTTTACCTTATTTATTTTTTGTATTGCCTAATTTATTTTGTGTATTTTTTGTTATAGTTGCATTTTTACGTCGGGTGACCTTTCCGGCCACTGCCGCTTTCCATCTTACTAATTACGTCGATAATTTATTGACGGCTGATTTTATTCACTTTTTTATTATTTTTTTACCTAATTTATTTTTTGTATTGCCTAATACTATATTTGTTTTTGTTATAGCTGCATTTTTACGTCAGTTGACCTTTCCGGCGACTGTCGGTTTTCATCTTCTTAATTACGTCGATAATTTATTGACGGTTGATTTTGTTTATTAATTTTTTTTATTTTTGGCCTATTTATTTTTTTTTATTATTTTTTAAAATTCTAATATTTTATTCCGATTTTCGGACGAATGAAGTTCTACTTATTCGGAAAATATAATTAAGGAAATTTTTTTCCAGTGTGTTGATTAAGAAAAAATTCGCCGCAGTCAACAGGAAATTTATTTCATTTCCAAAATACTGCTGAATAATTTTCAGTGTGCCAGTTTATTTTTTCAAATTTTTAATACCAAACGCTTTTTTGTGGCCGATTTATTTTCGTAAAATGCCTCTTTTCTTCTCAATAATTCTTAGATATTTTCTTGACGATCAGTTTTAATTCTTTTAACTTTTTATTACGTAATCTTTCCATGTTTTAGGCTGATTTATTTTCGTAAAATTTTTAACTTCTCGTAAATTATTTCGAATTTTTGTCAAATTAATTTTTTAATTTTCGGGGATATTCGTAAATATTCATAAAGCGCTTTTATAACAATAAAAAACCGCCGCAATCATCAAGAAATTTATTCAGTTTCCAACACAGCACTAACAAAAAAACCTCCTTAACAGAAACATTTTCATAGCAAAAAAAGGCATAATAATTTCCAGATCATTCTGTCAGCGAAAATCCGAGCAACCGAGCTTCTATAATTCATCACGAAATTCCTCCGATCAAACTATTGCATAAAACAAAAACATCCGCTTTCATTCTACGCTAGTAAAAGGTGAAAAAACTACTCGTAAATCAGTATTAAAATAATCCGTGCGCTAAAAGTATTATTTAATACTAATAAACAAGATCGGTGCGTCAGTAATTAATAATAAAACAAGGAACAATTTGCCGACTGCGAGATTCTCACCATTAAACAGAATAATTCTCCATTTAAGTCGCCGTCTTGCGCTTGCGCCCGCGCTTTGCCATTTTCGGCGCTTCCTCCGCGGGCGGCTGCACTGGCGCGTCACCCTACGATTCAAATTCAAACATTATTAACCTGTTTTAACACTTCGTTGACCGGCAGTTTTGAGCAACGAGGCTGACTTCCTTGGTGGAAGTCACCAGAAGCATCCCATTGGTCAGTGGAATCTTCTGACCAGTCGTTCTTTTTATTTTAATGAGATTTGGCCAATAACACTGACCACTGAGACAAAAGAAATACATTAGCACGTGCGCCAGATTTACTGGCGAAGAAAGAATGCTTTTGATGGGCTGTTCTGCTTATCTGCTAATTGATCGCAGGCTCGCATCCATTGTCTTTGCTTAGTCTAAGCTGACCCGGATTCAACCTTTGATCAAAGTGCCTTTTATTGCCCTAGCGGTATGCGCGCGCCTGATTGTTAGCTGCTCTGGTCGTTTTCCATGTATACCTTCCAGTCGAACAGCGGCATCATTGGGCAGTCTGCCCAAACTTCCCAATGCGCCTCAATTTTTTGTAAGCGATCGGAGCCTCATATGTTGCTCAAAATGGACCAGTAAGTTTCTATTGGTATCCAGTACATGGCCTGATTTTTTCGATATCATACGTCCACGCAGCTGAAAGGTGTGACCATTTGAATGTGCATGTCCCAAAGGGATGGTGACTTCCACCATCTTTATCCTGGACTTCCGGCTGCACTGAGAGTGTCAAAAACAGTACCAGCGAAAACTAGACGCTTTTTCACTCACACAGCCCAAAAATTGCTGTAAAATTATTTTTTTGAAATTAGTTACTGAATTAATAAGACCAACTCTGGTGTGAGTAACCACGCTAGTCAACGAAGTGTTAAAATTAATTTGAGATACAACGAAATGTGAAACTGAAAGTAATTTTGAAAAATTATTTTTCCGAATATTTTTTCTGTCATAAACAAAAAATACACTAAATAAAATATTACCAGTAACTAATATATCGCTATTTCCAACAGTTATTCCAGTGTATTGTATTAAATCGGTATTTAATTCAATCGATAACCTCCTCCCAAAATTAAGTAAATAATAATTAGAGTCAAAATTTAAAAAAATAAATTTCACACTGACGACCGTTGTAAATTTTCGCAACGCTGTTTTTCATTGTGAAATGATTGGAATGTAAATCCGAAAACTCAAAGAGGGAAATTTTTCAAAATTTATTTTCGGGATAAATAATTTAACCAATTTCTCTTGCGAATAAATAGCAAAATTAAAAATCAGAATAAATTTTCTAAAAATTAAAATTCCCACTGTTAACCGTAGTAAATTTTCGAAACGCTGCTGTCGTTTTCAAAATTATGCGAAACAAAATAAAAAAAAATATGAATTTTTTAAATTTATTTTCCAGATATTTTATCTGATCCAAACTCTCCCATCAAACTACTAAAATAATAACTAAAAAAAAATAAATTAATGAAAATTTGGTTAATTTCAAAACTTTTCAAACTCAAACTAAAACCAAATTTTTCATTGCAAACTGTAGTAAATGTTCGAAACGCTGCTGTCATTTTCAAAATTATTCGAAACAATATAAATAAAAAAAATACGAAAATACGACTTTTTTTAAATTTATTTTCCAGATTTTAATTTAATCAAAATTTTCCCAACAAACTATTAAAATAACAATTTAAAAAATTAAATTAATGAAATTCTAACTGTTTTCAGTGTTACCTCGGTCAGCCCGAGCATGTCCGCCCAGGGGCGGACGCCGCGTCCGGCCATGTCGCGTTCGAAGCGCTGCTTGTCCTGCTGCAGCGCCGCCTTGTGGCGGTAGTACTCGTTGACGGTGTGGAAGCGCGGCGTCATGGCGAAGTGCGCGAAGAGATTGGGGTAGGTGTGGCGCTGCCGGTCCAACTGCTTCTTGATCTCGGCGATGGAGCGGTGCGTCAGCACCGTCTGGATCATGCAGTAGTTGGTCTCGTACAGCGCCGCGCACTGCCGCAACAGCGCGCATTCGTCCTCACTCCTGACAGCCAAAAAACACACCAAATAACTCTGGATTAATTGTGTATTAATTTACAGTATTTTATTTACAACTATCCTGCTTTTCCAATTTTTTTCTTATTTCTTTCCAATTTTTTTTGAATTGTTTTCCATTTATTTACAACTGTCCTGCCTTTCCAAATTTTTTCCAATTTTTTCTGAATTGCTTTCCAGTTTTTTTCCCATTTCCATGAATTATTTCCCCCATTATTTTCTCAGTTATTTGCTTTCGATAAGTTTTTAAATACTTAATAAAATTAACTGATATATTTTTTAAAATTTAACTGATCTGTTTCTTCCGCATTTACATACCCCCAATAAAAGAAGAAAATTCATATTAAATGGGAAATTCAAAAAAATTCATTAAAATTAAAACAAGAAAAGTTCATATTCACATTAAAAAAATATAATAACTTCTCATTACAACGAGGAAAATTCCTATTAAAAAATCCCTAAACAAATAAATTCCTACATTAAATAAAGTCTGATAAATTCCCATAAAAAATAAGAAAAATGCTAATGATTAAAAAATTCCTCAACAAATCATTTCCCAAAAAGCAAAATAAATTAAAAAAATCCCATGTAAAAAAAAAAGAAAATTCCTATTAAAAACAAAAAATTAACTAAATAAACTCCTAATTAAAATATGTTGTATTAAATTCCCGTTAAAAGCTGACTGACCAGCGCAGATTCCCGCGGCGCAGCAGCATCTTCTTCCCGGGCGCGTCGGCCTTGACCGGGACGTCGTCGGTGTCGTCCTCCTCCGGCAGATCGATCAGCTGACTGTAGAACTCGTCCGCTTCGGCCTCCGCCTCGGCATCCAGCGGCTCTTCCTCTTCCTCTTCCCCGACCGTGTTCCCCGGCGGATTATCCACCACCTCGCCCATCTCCGCTTCCAATTCGGCATTGGCAGTGCCCGCTTCCTATCATAGTGTCACACACACATAATTATAATAAAATAATAATATCAAAATAATTAAACTAAAATATTGATAACAATAAAACTAATAACAACACAATAAAACTAATAAATAATAACAAGAAAACTAAAATAATAATAAAATCATAAAACTAAAATCATAAAAATAATATAATTACGCGTTTTGCATTCGGAAAACCAAGAAATAACAGCGGCCAACACTTCCCAGCACGAATGGGCTAGTATACTACATCGTGCCACTCCACTACACTTGTTAACACTGTGCACCTGCACAGTACGACCGACTCTTGTAAATTCAGAAAATGGCATAATTCATTTACAAGCAAATTACACAGTTAAAATAAAAAACTAAATTATTCCATCGCTGCCAAAATAATGATCTATCAGCAACTATATCAGAATAAATAAGATCATATTGTATAAAAATAACTGTCTCTCAATTTCTCATACCACAAAAATCGGACAATAATCCAGAATTAAATTTCAAACAATTAAATCACTTTTGCAATTTTTTAAATGGCTTTTCTGTCAAAAAATAATAATAAATACACTGCTTAAATTTATCAAAATTTTCAACCATCTCGGCGAAAGGAATGATTCCCTAACGACAATACGCAAGATTTATTTAGAAAATGGAAATAAAATCACAAAAAATAAGATCGTGTATAAAACAAAACTGCGTAAAGTTTACAAATCATCATTAAGTTTACAAATTTACGAAGTGCATAAATGTTTATTAATAATTATCAGAAGTATATAAATATCAATTAATAATTTATTTCCATTTTTATTATATTTTACAAATAATTACTGGTTAATTCTCTTACCGAGTTCGCCACCGACATCCCCTCGCCCTCCTCCGCCGCCGCCGCCACCGCCGGCGCCCCATCCCCCCAGCGCGCCGCATTCCCGCGGCCGCGCCGCACCAACTTGGACTGCGCCTTCTGCTTCTGCCGCTGCGCCACCTCCTCCGGGCGGCGCTTTACCCGCCGAAAACGCTGACAGGCAAGATCCCCCAGGGGCTTCTCCTCCAGCCCGACCCCCGGCTCCCCCTCGTCGGCGGCCACCGGCTCCCCCTCACCCCCCGCCATCTCCGCATCCCCGGGGGCGGGACTCAGGGGCGCCCCTCCATTGTCAGGGGCGCTGCCGTACTGCTGCTGCATGGACAGGGGCGCCGCCATCCAACTGCCCAGGGGGGCGGGCGGGGGGTAGGGGGCATGGTAGTATATGTTGGGGTCCGGGTAAATCTGGGCGGGAGGCATAAAGGGGGTGAAGTGGGAGTGCGGGAGGAAGTTGGGGGGCGCTTCGTTGGGGTCCTCCATCGTGGAAATCAATCGCGGATTACAATCAGACAGATGCGATCAACTGAATGGCTAGGCAGATGGCGCGGAGAATCAGCGCTGGATAATCAAGGAATGTCAATAAAAATCCGCAGAATCGGAGCGGAAGAAAACCCTGGATTGGTGGAAAAACAGCCAGACAGTTTCTCGAACGATTCAGAATTCAGGTTACAATTTACATCATTACTGTTCATAACCAGGTGTGATTAGCAGGTGATGGCTACTGATTTATTCGTGGTGCACAGAAAGATAAAGAAAGGATAATAATTACGAAAGAATCGGGAAACAAGCAACGTCCAAATTGAAGATTCAGGAAGTGAAAAAACATGTTCGAACACGCTGAAGTCGATAAGCGCAACGGTACGGTGAACAACAACCAATGGGCGGAAAGTGCAACCGCCTTGAGGCAGCGGTTTATCCGTTTGCCAGCGGAGATTTAATAATGGCAGAATAATCTGGCCACGAAAGTCTATGTAAAAGCGAATTTTGCAGTTGGAAAAAGAAACTAGAGCAGAAGAATGTCAAAAGTAAGAAAATAAATTTTAAAACGGAAGAAAATTTATTAGAAGGGAGATGGAAAGTATCGAAAACTCGTTGAGTGTCGCGTTGTGCGCATGTAGACTTCGTACGTAAAACTAAGTACATTGACATTGGACGGGACAGTACTTACTTTACTTAATACTTACTGTACAAATTGGAAGCAAATTAATCGTAAGAAGTACTTGACGATTTAACATCCCTGATCGAATGCTGCAAATAATATTAAATAAAATTTTACACAGTATATTCGCGCAGATTGCAAAATATGCAGAGATGCACGAATGAAATGCAGATACGTATACTGTACTTATATTAGTTATATAGATATTATTGTATAAATGCAATATTATAATTACTCGTACGCAGGGGTATGTACTGTATAAAACGTACGTATATTTATATAAATACTATAATATTATACTGTATAAATATCATATGTACTTCTACGTACGTACTGTTTAAAACATTACACTTACATAAAATACGTGTATAAATATCTGTGCATATGCATAAACTTATATAACTATATTACTTATATAGTATATTTTATATATTCTCTAGTAATCATATTAATTTTGACTATTATAATGTATCCCGGTACAATATATATAGCACAATTGTAGTATTAACGATAAATTACATTCTGCACTTTGTACACGACTAATACGAGTACCAATACGACAACCCACATATCATATTAATATTAATATTATTGTCTGTGCGTAGTGCAGCATACAGTATACGGCACTGTGCGCCTTTTCACTAGCATTCCCGCATATTTTTATGTTTATTTTTATTTTCATGTTTTTATTTTTATGTTCATGTTAGTTTTTCTACAATGGAAGAAGAGGACAAAACAACTGATCATGAGAGGATACACGAAGGATACATGGAGGATTCTGTCACCTAATACGGTGAATATTATGGGTATAGGTTAGACATACATACCGGTACATACTTTAATTCGGAAACTGAGCATGCAGGAAACGGCCGTGAAAAAAGTGGGCATGGACAAACAACACATTTCATGATAACACACTGCTATTATTGTGCTGTACACGCCTTTTCCTTGTTTTCACGTCTTGCGTTGCCGGCACTGCCAACGATGAACCATAATGCGTAAATCTAATAACGCGCGACTATGTTATGATAAGTACCGTACAAAGCAACGGATGAAGCGTTTCTGTGCAGTAACAAGAAAATAAACCAGTTGGACGGTAATTGCCAACTATGTAACAGGTAATATAAAACGAAAGTTAAGTACATTATACAAAACGCCAAGAATTGTTGATCATCGGTGCTGGGAAGCGAAAGGAGTTGGTCGTAAACGCCTGGACAATTTCGAACTGTTATCCTCGACATAAACCATGCAGACCCTGAAAGGGCAATGTTAACACGATAAACTCGCTTGCTTGCACACTAAATCTCGCAGAATGCAGAGTGCGACATGTCGTACTGCAGTTCTTCAGCATGTAAATCTCGTATTACGCTGCCTATCAAATCGACAAGAAGCGGTTAAAATGTCGAAATTAATAATGACACAGTAGACGACGTAAACGTAATTCGCGTATGTTTTGCGTGGCGCAGCGCGCGCTGCACATTACGCGCGACCTTTATTTTCAGGTCTCCTGCTGCCACGACGGAGGATGGGCGGTTGACCCTTTTTGTGCTCCGACAGCGTTTCCGGAGTATTTTTGTTGTAACTTTAGATGTCATTTGCTGTACTAATTTTAAGTAAAATATAAATAGATAGGTACAATGAAAACAGTGTAACCTATGATTCTCTATGCTGTAACTACAAAATTTAAGAAATACGTATCCACTGTCAACCGACCGGCATAATATAAATATTGTAAAGCGTTATATGCGACAGCATCTGATTTCCTCCATTTATTTAGCGAAATCGTTAACTGCATGGTTTACTTCTACTCGTTCCAACGGTATTGTCACGGAGGTGTGTTTACCGTTACCGTTATCAATAAAGTACAGATGGCGGTTATGGCCTTATCATAAGCCTAATTGGTTTCGTGTGGGATCTACCTGCTCGCCGTTACATTAACAATTTGCCGGATTCCGCTGATCTCTTCGATAATAAACTATAATAATTACCGACGCCAGTGTTTCTGCGTGGTTTGTTCTGGGCGTTGGTATTCCACGCCTGCGTACGAATAACGAGAGAAACGTCATCCAAGAGGTCATGAACCGAGTGAGGAGTACCGAAAAGTCATGAACGGAGTGATCGCCAGTAAGTTTCATAGTTTACATAAATGCTGCATCCTGTTATGTACTGCTACTTGTAGATTTGTATACCTTTTTGCAATTTGTTTAACAAGTTTGACCTGGATTTATATTTTAATGGATTGTGTGTGTATTCACTTGCGTACTGCATTATGTAGTTGGAATCTTTTCTAAATAATGCTGGTCTTTTTCCTTTCTGAGAGTCACTATTTGTTTTCCTGTTCGTTATTTCACGTTTACTATGCGTGACCTTTCTCATAATCCGTGACCTTATCGTGACTTTTGTTAATTGTTCGTTTATTATGCGTGACCTTTTGTTTACGGTGTCTATGTTTAATAATTATATGAAGATTATGCGTGACCTCGTCTCATGTTCTGAGAAACGTTTATTGAATGTTGTTTCTTTCCGAATAGCCAGTTCCGTAAGTATTGGTTAGTTTAATTTGTAGCGTTCACATGATTGATGGTACCATTACGCAAGAAAAAGCCGTCAGAAAGAGAAGCAGACGTGTGTCTGGGAAGAAGAACGCCCACGCGTTTTCGATATTTGCCACGCTTTAACTGTCCTGACGGGCTTGCAGTCGTACAACGCTGCTTTAGCAACGTGCGTACAATCGGTACAGATACAACCTTGATGACAGTACCATTTTCTGGCTAATTAAACTAACTGATTGGCAACTGAATGATCAGGCTGACCAGATTAGTATGGCGGCGCTGCTGCGATGGTGAAGGCGAGCCATACGGTAGAACAGAATAAGCACTTGTACGTACATCAGGTTGTGGGATGACGTTCCGGCACTAAAGTTAAAAGCGAGCGTCTATCGTCCGTTTGTCAGCCGGTAGAGCCTGAGCCGTTGAAAAAGCCGTCCAGTCCAGTTCTTCAACTCCGCTTTAAAACTGAACATTTCTGCCACAGCCTGCGTTCGAGCAATGCCTGCAAAACTTTGTGAGACAGTGCGCTAAGCAAAGACTTTTCTAAATTTTGTTAACAGAATTCCTCACATTTGGAAGCTCTTATTTCACGGTACGTAAATAAAAGTAGATAATTAATCATAACATTATTGGTATTTTACAATTTACGATACAGTTGCCGTGTAATATTGCCTTATTTAATTTAATAATAAGTTGTGCTTTATATTGAACGATTTTCTGAAGCGCATCTTATGTGAATTCTGCCACGATTTCGTTCTGCATTGTAGTTGTAGTAGTACTGGCGCATCCTGCAGATTCCTGCTCTGTGCGCGGTGGTGCATTGCGCATGAGCGCAAGCGTATTTTCCTTTCGAGTCCAGACACACCGTGAAGCATGCCGAGCGGAATGCACCGCGAGAACGCCGTGGACGTTCTCTTCGACGACGGGATGATGCGCTTCGGACGCGTGCTGGACGTGGCCGTCAACGGGCTCTTCGTGGATCTGCTCTGCCCCAACCGACGCCGTGAATTCGTCCCGTTCGACCGTCTCTTTGTGCTGAGCAATACCAGCGAAGCGGAACTGTCTCCTACCTATTCCACCGAATTTTCCACTGTTCCCGTGGAAGTGCTGGTAGAGGAGACAAGGCTGGGCCCGTGGATTTGGATTCCTGGTCAAGCAGTCCGGTTCGGACGCGGGATGGAACACGGGATCGAGGCTAAGTGGCGACGTCCGTACAGCGGAGAAGCGTGCACGGATTTCGTTCCCAGCGAACGGATCCGCTGGACAGTGCAGACGGAGCGGAATCGGCGTCGTTTGGCTATCTGTCAGCGAAATGCAGGGATCGAAGGTGCGGGTTGCTCTCCGGATAAATTCGCTCCACTGCGAGATCACGTGTATCCAGGGACCTTCGCTAAGCAGACGCTGCAGCTGGACGAGGAATTTCGCTCCTTGTCCAGTGCCGAAAGTGAGGCGCTCGTGATGCGACTGAACGGATACGAAGCGGATTCTTTAGGCTGCACGGTGGCTGTCGTCGATTTCGCTGGCGGCCGCTTGGGATACATTTGTCAGCCGCGAAATCCTCGACACGACGATTCAGGGAACCGGTGCGCTTTGGTAAAACGTCCACGCAGTCTGGCTTTGAACTGGAAACGAATTCGAATGGTTTGTACGCTTTTCAGACGTCCGTCGCCAGTCGCTACATGAAGTATGTCAGAACATCGGAGCCTGCCGACGGGATCCCGCCAATCAACGACAAGATGGCGATCTCGACGGAATTGTGTCTGGAGGTGTTCTCGCACTTGAACACCACAGCGCAGATGCGGTTGCGCATGGTCTGCGCAGCGTGGGACGCGATGATAGAGGAGCCAGTGCTGAGCGGCCGCCTCACGCTGGGCGCGTACTTTTACCCGGGCGACAAGCGGCGCTTCAGCCATTTCTTATCCCTGGCTACCTTGTACAAACGCCTACAAGCAGGCACGCAGCACGTGACGATGGCGCATTTCGGGTCACTGGACATCCCGGAGAGGAACGCCGCCATCGACTACCTGACGATCATGTGCGAGATGATCCACTGCCTGGCGCAGCAGCGCACCGGCGTCCGTCTGCGCAGTCTGCACATGGAGACCTTCAACTTCGAGCTGGCAACCCACTCGGCTTTAGAAAGCGCTGGCGTAAGCGAGTGCGTCCTGCACCAGGCGGATCGGTCGACGGTTCGGCCGGCGGTGGACTGGGATTTGGAATCTCTGCAGGATTTCATCGCCGTCTGCAGCCGTCTGCCGTGCCACACGCTCCTCATGACCAACTGCGACGTCCATTTGAGCTGCGCGTTCTTCTTTCGCGGTTGGAATTATACGTTCGGTGTCTCGGTAGGAATTGCCGCAGCGCGACTGCCGATTGATGCGGATTTCGGCTGTGCGTTGTGGGATGCGTTGGACGCGTGGCTGCCGGTGCCGGATGAGGAGAAAGTGGTGGAGCTCTTGGAGCTGGTAAAAGGGAATCCGGGTGGAGAGCTCAAACTGAAGCAGCTCGTCTGCAAGGTACAATCCACTCGTACGGGTGGCACGAACATTTGTCCCTTTCTAGCTAATAGCTATCAGCAGGGCGCAATCCGAGGGAAACCGACGGCTGAAAAATGCACCGATGGGGGAATCGAAGTTATCGAACCCCGGCTACGTCGTTAGATCCACGTAGGCAGTACCACTGCACCACGGCGCAATACGTTGAAATCATTTGAAAGATTTTGCCGCTGTACAATACATGAGCCGCTTCTCTCCTCACGTACCCTAGCTGTCCACGCTATGGTCGTTTTGCAGGTGTTGTGCGCGCTGCACGCGGCCGATCCGCGGCCCTCGGACTACCGGGGAAGCAGTGGTGCGTGGAGGGTCTTCAAGGTTTACAGCTGGAGAAGTTGTCGCGCATCGCCCGTCATTTCCTCGTCCAGATACAGTGACTGCCAAGCCGGGCTTGGAAGGCATGCACGCTTGACCGTTTGGTTTACGCTTTTTGCTGTCGTTCGCATTGTGCGCCTTTTTCCTGGGACACTCTTTTGCTGTTAATCGTATGCTACTCATAATATAGATATGTGGGAACTAAATTTGCTGCATCTCTTATTACTCGAACTATCGTACATACTTTTCCTAATAAGTGTGTGCTTTTGTGGCGTCAGCCATTCTTTTTCTTTTTGGGATAAGAAACTCCCAGTTCTACATGGGATTCGGGATCAATATTCTGTTGAGAAATGTGCTAGTAGTGACATCAGTGTAGCTGACTGGTAGACTGGAGTCCGTATTAAATCCGTTTCTGGGATCTGAGTTTGGGATGCTTATAGCGGACCTCGTCAGAAATTTATCAGCCGATACTTTCTGTGAACTGTTTTTGAACCTATTGAAGCAACGAGATTTTACCAAAACTTTTACCTGCGGTACATGTATTGCCTACCATGATAGCCCACAAGCTTGCAAAGGTCACCCCCCCCCTTCACAGTATCGGTCGTACTGCAAAAGGTTTCCCAGTCTGTCTCTCTTGTCCACTGCTCTCTTCTCCTCAGTCGCCTCAGCGTTTTCGAGAATGTTGGGAATATGGTTACTGATTTTCTCTGTTCCGCGTCCTGTATGGGCTGGCGCAATAAAAAAAATTTAAATCCTAAATAAGTTATGATTGGTTAAGGACGTTACGGGATTAAGAGTTGATGCAGTAATACGGAAGTTGCAGGATAATGATGTGATTGCGTAATAAGGAAGTTATCTTCCGCGTCAGACGGGAAGCACTGGAAGCCGTACCCGCCTTTAGACGCCTGAAACCAGCGCTGCGCTGCGGCGGCCGCTTACCATCATCGCATGAGCTCCAAGCCACGCCGCTTCCTCAGGTCCTGGAGTGCGCAGCGCCTCCTGCCAGTGGAGATTTTGACGGAGGCCTTTCAGTGCCTGCACACTGGCGAACAGTGCCGCCTGCGGGCGGTGTGTAACCGTTGGATCGGTATCCTCACGTCGGTCGCCGTCAGGGATCTGCAGCACATCCGCTTCTCCGCCGACTGCCCATCGGCTTGTTTACATTCTTCTTCCGCGGATATAATTCAGCGCGATAAAGACAGTTCGCGTTGTCATTGGACTAATCTGGCCATCGCTGGCTCGGCCAATGAGAAGCATGTCAAAAAGTGTCTTAGACTGAACGACGTCCTGTCCTCGTGTGGTGGGCTCATCTTGCGAGAGACACCGCCGAGGACTCTGGTGCTGAAAGACATTTTCTGCCGCTACAGTCCGGAAGTTAACGAGGATTACATCGGCACTGTGCGCGGTGTATTTGACTCGCTAGCGGGGAATCGTCGCATGTTGATCGTTAATACGTATTACATGCCATATCTCCTTCACTTTCGTGGACGCTCCCCGGATCACTATCCGCATCCCGTTTGGACTGATGAAGAGCGACCAGCGTCTGACTGTCGCCGACTGGTGCGACCTAATCGAACAAGGCTGTCCGCTGCTAACTGACCAGCAAAAACACCTTGTTGCCTGTGCGATTAGGGGACGCAACCGGGCGCGTACGGCGTGCCAACAATCGGTAAGTACTAAGAACGTTCCTTTATTTGCCATATCATATGGAACAGCGCAAGAAATCAGGTCTTTCTCAGCCGCGACGTTGTATTTGTCTTGTCGTCAGTGCTCTGTGTATAGTTTGCTTTAACCTGTTTGGCGTTTTGCAGCTTCCGCGGCGTCACCAGCCAACCGATCTAATGAAGAAGTCCATTTCCGGGAAGATGTTCTCAGTGAGCGGGCCATGGTCGGCTGTCGTCTGGCGATGTGGACCGGCTGACACGAGGGGCGCAGTATAGCATGTGCTGTGCCGTTGTTGGCGCTGCCATCGTCATGGACGTGAAATGGTCCACTTGTTAGCTACCGCATCTGCCGAAAACATCTGCATCCGATTTGTTGTTATTCCTGCTAACCGTGCTCATGAATACGCTTGTCCGCTGTTATTTTTTGTACGTTCGTCATCTTGATGTGGGCTTTGGCAGCACCGACCGCAAACATATTTTACTGGAAAATACATTCGCCAGCTCGTTACTGGTCGCTCTTTGCCGGCAACACGCACGGATGCTCCTACCGCCTTTCCTGTTTCCGACCGCAACGACAAGCGGAAGCTCAAAACAACAATTCAAAGGCGTCTGGCTGGCGAGCCGTGCTCTTTTCCAGCTGGACGAGGAAATGACGGGCGATGCGCGACAACTTCTCCAGCTGTAGACCTTGCAGGCCGTCCACTGCTTCCCGCGGTAGTGCGCCGCCGGACGCGGGTCGGCGGACTGCAGCGCGCACAACATCTGCAGCACAATCATAGCGCAGTACTTGGGGACCAGGCCACAACGGTTGATGATCCATACCTTGCAGACGACTTGCTGCATTTCCAGATCAACATCCAGATCCCCCTTCAACCGCTCCAAGAGTTCCTGTACTTTCTGCTCATCCGGTACCGGCAGCAACGCGTCCATCGCATCCCACAACGCGCAGCCGAAATCCTGGCTAATCAGCAGTCGCGTCGCAGGAAACTGAACCGTGACACTGACACTCATCCGTTCAAGCAGGAAGTACGAGAAGGTCAAGTGGACGTCGCAGTTGGTCATGAGGAGCGTGTCACACGCCTGACTGCCGCAGACAGCGATAGTCCTGCAGCGGACCATCATTCCCATTCGCCGGCGCCTCAACCGTCTCCCGATCCACCTGGTGCAGGAGGCACTGGGTCGTGCGAGCGCTTTCAACAGCGGAGTGGATTGCCAGCGCGAAGTTGAAGTTCTCCATGTGCAGACTGCGCAGACGAATGCCGGTGCGCTGCTGCGCCACGAAACGGATCATCCCACACTGGTCCAGAAAATTCTCGATGGCGGCGTTCGGCGTCGGCATGTCAAGTACGCCGAAGTGCGTCAGCAGAATGTGCCGCGTGCCCGACTGCAAGCTCTTGTACAGCGCGGCCAGCGATAAGAAATGGGCGTATCTCAACTTGCGGCCGTTGTAGAAGAACGCTCCCAGCCTAAGGCGGCCGCTCAGCACTGGCTCGTCCATCATCGCGTTCCACGCTACGCAGACCGTGCGCAGCTCCGTATGCCTAACCGTCCCCAAATTTGCAAACACCTGCTGTCATAATTCAGCTGGAAGCGCGGATCTTGTTGTTGGCTGTCGAGACTTCCTCCGAATGTTCAGACACGTAGACCATCTCCTCGTCGAAGCTGGCAACGGCCGCTTGAAACCCGTGCAATCCAGCCGATTGTCTTACCAAAACTGCAACGATCCCTCACCAGAATTAGCCGGTTTCTGCGACCATCGTTCTGGAAAGCTTCAGGCTGACAAATGTACAACAAACTTTCCTCTACGAAGCCCACCACGGCAACCGCGCAGCGATAGAAATCCAATTGCCAGCTATTCAGCTCTCTGACGAGGGTCCCGGCTTCTCCAGTGGACATGCAACGGAATTTGTCGTTCAGCTGCAGAGCTCGCTTAGCGAATCAGCCTTGCCCAACATGGTCGTGCATCGGAGCGTCTTTATCCAGTGAGGAACTTTCCGCCTTCAGTCCCCTTCGAACGCTGAAGGTGAACCAGCCAACGTCGATTCAGCTCCGTCTGCACTATCCAGCGGATCCGTTCGCTGGGAACGAAATCGGTACACGCTTCTCCGCTGGACGGGCGTGGCCATTTAACCACGATCCCGTGCTCCATCCCGCGTCCGACACCGACTGCTTGACCAGGGACCCAAATCCAGGGCCCAACCGCGTCTCCTCCACCAGCACTTCCACGGGAATGTTTGGGGATTTTTCGAGCAAATACGACTCAGATCCGCTTCGCTCGTCTTGCTCAGCACAAACAGACGGTCGAACGGGACGAATTCACGGCGTCGGGTGGGGCAGAGCAGATCGACGAAGAGTCCGTGGTCGGCCATGTCCACGTCGCGCCCGCAGCGCATCATTCCGTCGTCGAAGAGAACGTCCACGGCGTTGTCGCGACGCATTCCGCTGTGCATTCTTCTCGGTGTCGGGATTCCAAAAGGACAAAACACAAATGCTGATGCGCACCACCGCGTACAAAGGATACAATCCACTACATCCCCTTCCTCGTAAAACAACAATTCAGAGCGAAACTGATGTACCTACATGATAATATTATGCACGTTAGCATACAAGAGGATTTTGCAAGCTGTGAAAAAATTAATTTATGTTGGTGCGGATCAACACCAGCAGATGTACGCGTATAATATTATTGAGAGTAGTTAGCCCAACCCAAAAGCCGGTGTTCCATATTATTGAAGTCATATATAAATTGTATTGTACCGGTATTTGTAATCAAAATAATCAATTTGAGATGACCAGAACTAGTGTGTGTTATTAATTTCCGTACAGCGCAATCTTTCAATACTTAAGTATTTTAGTACTTAATTTTAAATCCGACTATTATTTTAATCTGATAGTATTTCTAGTCGATTTGTGTGGCTGCAAGTTGAATGATGACGTGGGAATTTTAACTGAGGCGTAACAGAGCACCCTGAGTTTGCTTAATCCTTGCCGCAACGCGGTGGGTCAGAAATTCCTGATGGCGCCGGACGTAACGGGATATGGTATCGACACCCAGGATGTTTCCCTGGTGGTCAAGTATGACTTGGTAAACTGTCAAGAACATTGTGGAATACTCGCAAAAAACCACGCGAACCGGTCGTTCAGGGAGAAGGGTCAAGGCTTTCTCGTTTTTAGCAAAGGAAGGCAACCTTCTTCGAATGATCAACACCTTGTCTTCACTACCATCCCTGTTTGCTACTTTTCAAGCGAAACCGGACTGATGAACTATTTCCATATCTGTACAGGCGATAAAGATCACCAGGTATATCCAGTATAACACGCCTGGAACGCTATGCACAACCTACGTATTTGTGAAACCCTATGCGCAACAGGGACGACGCTCACCAAAACAAAAGCTATACTCAGCTGTTTCTCCTATTTTATTCCTAGATCAAGCAAAGCGCGCAACAGAGTAGCAAAGAAGAACATTGCGTTTTGACGGTGGTCAACTTCTAGCGCTAAATC